CGGGGCAGCCATTTAAATTTAAATGAAGCCGCGATTATTTTAATCGCGGCTTCATTTCCCTCTTCCCATCTGGCTAATCTACATGCCTCCGTCGAAGGAGGCATGTAGTCTAGACACACCCCAGGAGGGTGGTGAAGCACTGGAATGGGTTCCCTAGGGAAGTAGTGGAGTCTCCATCCCTAGAGGTGTTTAAGTCTCAGCTTGACAAAGCCCTGGCCGGGTTGATTTAGTTGGGATTGGTCCTGCCTAGAGCAGGGGGCTGGACTTGATGACCTTCTGAGGTCTCTTCCAGTTCTATGATTCTATGACTCTGTTGCGCAGAGCCCCCGCTCTGGCCACACCACCTCCTTGTCCTCTACTGCTGCCACCGTTGCTGGGGAGACCTCTGTGCCTTGGAGCTTCTGGTGAGTGGAGTGAGCAGCATGGAGCCAAACTGCTCACAGCTGGCCAAGATGCCGCAGTCTGGCTGGCCCACCTGCAGCCCGAGGAGCTGTGGGAGCTGGCTGAAGGTGTGATGCTCAGCCTGCGTGGGAAGGCGCTGCGCCTGCCGCCCTGTCCTACCAGCGGCCCCGAGGGAGCAGGCAAGGCGCTGTGAGACACCCCTGCTTGGCTGCCACCTGTGCCAGTGGCTGGTATGCAAACCAGTGACCCTGCACTGCAGCCACACCTGCTGCCACCACTGCGCTGAGCCTGGCCACTGTGTCCATTGCCATGGGCCCTGATGCACTGCCACCAATGCGCCCGGCCCCACCAGCTCTCAGATCAGCAAGGTGCTGGGCAACCTGCTGGAGAAGTAGCTGAAGGAGGAGAGGCGGGCTGTGCAGTGATCACAAGGCTCGAGCAGCAGCAGCAGCATGGGTGAGGAAACTGGCTGAGCTCTCCTCCTCCCCACCCCGCTGGGGGAACGGTAGCACAGTGACATGCTGTCCGGAGGCTTTCCACACTGCTCCCATTGGCATGCCCTACTCCCAAGCCTGCTTCTGCACCCTACCTCTCATTCAGAACTTGCACCCTCACCTCCTCCTGCACACCACCTCCTGCGCATCCCCATCCCTATCCTATTCACTGGCAGCCCTGTCCCGCACACTGAACCCTTCCTTTTTGTTCCCACACCAGAGCCTAATGGGGTCCCCAAAATACACTAACTCTAGAACCCCAGAGAAGTAAATCTGGCCTATGGGAAGCCCTGAACCTCAACTCAATCCTCCCTGTCCTTTCCCTCGTCCCGTAGGGCTGGAGTGCCAGAAGAGTGAGATGTCTCAGTTGGGGGCCACGTCAGTGAGTGTTGGTTTTTTTGAGAGTTGTTTTTACTTCTCATTTGTGTGGTCCCCAACTGGTTTTTCTATGGGTCAGTGGCCCCCGACCCAAAAAAGGTTCCTCACCCCTGCCATAAATAAAGAAAACATTGAACCCTTTTGTGTTGAACATAAATTAATATTTTACTTTTTTTAATGCAGTTTGATAAACTAACATGAGAAAGTTAAAATGCTTAGTCTGTTTAATAATTTAAATTAAACCGTTCTCCTCAGCTGCAGCACTAGCAAAACGGCTTGGGCATCATTATGTAATTAAAGGTGAGTTTCCATTAGCAACTGGTGGACTGCGGAAAGGTTTTCATTGAACCAGGTTATCCACAGGGTGCACAGTGGAGAGAGACCCTCCCCGCCTCCCAGGAGAGCAGCACAGCCCAGGGCAGGAGGGTTAAATCTTGGCACGCCGCTTTGGAAAGGTTGCCGACCCCTGTGCTAAAACTTCCCTCTCAGACAGCTTCTATAATGTAGCCATGTGTTTCCAATACAAAATTCTACAACACAGTGAAAGCTAACAACATAGGAATCAATCTAAATTAAAGTTTAATGGATCTTTAAATACACAATTAGTACACTCCCCACTGAGGCAGCCTCATTTATACCAAGCCCCCCCCCCAATACATTTTGCAGTTTTATTTGCACCCACTTTCTGACCTCTTTGAACTGCTAGAGTTACTACCATTAAGGACATAGCCTTCTGTGTTTATTGTTATAGTTAGTTAAATAAAACTTTACTGTGCCAGAGAATCTAGAGGCCAGACTGCAGAATTTAGCTCAGATAAGCTTTGAATTACTGGGGGAGCAGGGATGAGAAAGGATTTGCTTATACTATTTATTGAAGCTCCTATGTCAGAAGTTTTAATCTCTGATTTTTGCATATAAAACTAGGCATGCATAGAATACTTCCATCCTAAGACAATAAAATAACTGATAGTTTTGTTCAACAGCTCGGTGACAATCTTCTGCACTGGAACAAAAAAGACTGGGGTTCAGTTCCTATTTCTATTGTCTTCTTCGAGTAGGGAGTGTTGTTGATGCAATTCATTCAAAGCATCCCCCACTAGTAATTATAATATTTTGAAGGCACATTTGTTTTTCCTGTGGGCACACTTGAAACTGATAATGCTTATTTATGACTATTAACTGCAAAGCAGATGATTCGCAGCTCTCATATAGTGATACACAGTACTGTATTTCAATGCTAACGTGACCCTTAAGGCATATATCTTTAGATCATGAGCTCTAGAGCCAGATACTGTGTACAACAGGGCACTAGAACCAATGTGTGTGCCTCTCTGCGCCTGTTACAGCCTTTGGGCCCTTACAACTAGGAGCAATACTTTCAGATCACACACTTGTTCCTACTCCATGTGCTATAGAGGTAACTGGGTATAAGGGCTCCTGCCTCTTAAGCAGAAGAGCAAACAGAAGATACTCAAGAGTCTCCCAAAGAGCTAGGAGATGCCTTCCCCTCTAATAGGCAGAAGGCCTGAGAGGGGGCTACGGGAACACAACAGGAAGCTTCTATTGACAAGAGCAGTGAAACTCTGGAGATCGCTTTTTATCTTTGGCCCTCTGGAGAAGTAAATCTGTTTTGGGTTGCTTTCCATTTGCTCTAAATAAATAAAGAAAATCCTGAAAAAGTCACTCTCTCTGTGCAGTTGGTTTTAATCTTCCTCGGTTGGTGGATCTGACCACCAGCTCACATGCAGTCCTATAAAATCTGTGCACACGTTAGGCAGTACATAAATAAGTCTGCCAGGAGGGAAAACTGGAAAACTTGTAGGTTTCAATATTGCTTTTGCTGTTGGTCTGAAACAGAGGAGTTCCAACCACATCACTCCAACATGCACTCACCTTTCACACTTATGCTGTAAAATTTTACAAAAGCAACATTTCCATCTGAAAAGATATGTTCCACTCTTAATAAAGTAGTCCCTTAAGTGGGATTACCAATCGTATCTCCACGAGAACAGTCTGGCCAATATGCAGACATGGTTATTAATGCAAGGTGAGGAAAAAAAATGTTTATACTGTTCTCTAAAGTTAAAAGAATAAATCCTGCTCCCTAGCAGTTGGGAACTCTGCTTGATACATGCTACAAAATCAAAAATATTTTGCTAACTTAAAAGCTGAACCAAGAAACAAAATAAAAATGAAAATAAAACCAAAATATACCTTGTTTATCTTCTCTTTCGGATGCGTCAAGAGATTTGGGAAGTGAGAAAGAACATCACAGTTGAGAACAACTTGTGTTTGTTCATCAGTACCAGTTACTATGTTGCCCACTGCTCTCAATGCTGCTGTCTATATTTGAAGAAAAAAAACAGCAAGACATTACTGCATGTATGCAACTACTTGTGGTAAAATCAGGACCACTAAAAACACCAGGATAGTGTCCCTTTAAGATACTCATTTCCTTAAATACAATTTAGCACTGTATTTTCAAAACCATGCTCAGCAATATGCTTAGAGTATGCAGAGTGGATTTCTTGCACCACAGCTCCACAAAGTGAGAGTAGAGTACAAATATTTTCTTGAATGAAAAAGTTCTTTCTGGCTGAAGTCAAGAAGAGTGCAAGATTACAAAGTTGTTAAAAAAGAAAGGTTTAGGGACTTAAAACTGAAAGTGAAAAAAGTGAATGAGAAGACCAATTAATTCAGAGGTCTGATCTGAATTACATGTAATGTTCCCATGCTTTTAACTGTTATCACACCAGTCAGCTATTCAACTGATCTGTGCTACAGTAGCATTACAAGAAGTCCCTATTTTTCCCCTTCTTTGAATTGCTCTCAGTGGGCTCTAGACCTTTAATCAAATAGTGAATATTTGGCAACTGAAACAATGCATTACAAAATACGCTTTTTAAAAAAAGTAAACTGGTTTAAAAGATTTCAGGACAGCCAAAGGAAGTAAGAACTAAGAAACATAAAAAGTATATAGATACCACCAAAAGGTCCTATTTAGTGCCATCGTTTTATTATACTAACTTTTTAAAAGTGAACATTTTCCTAAATCCCTCTCTTTCACTGTAGTTTTGAGCTGGCTAAACTAGATTGGCTTTCCTAGCTTCTATAGGGAACTATCCATTTAAGTTTTCCTGAATTTTAATCCTCTGTTATTTGGTGCATGTATTGCTTTGTAAATAGGAAGAAGGGTGGATGCTATATATGCTGATAATTTATCATGAAAATAAAAATGGTTATTTTGGGGCCTTCGAGTGCCAAAATAAACTCAGGGACTATAGCCCTCTATTAAGGAGAAGATTTCTAGCCTTGTTAGAATAATGGCTAGAAACAGTCAAAGTTAAATAGACTGAAAAAAAAATCAGGTAATCTATTTCTGATGCCCTACCAAATGAGCTAATAAACCTGTAGATTACAGTGAAGTTTAAGGATTGTTCATTTTATATTCCTTCTGGCAAATTAATGTACGAATACTATGCATCATGTATCATGTATACCTAACATGTTCACATTTTACTTTTATTTTCTTAAGTTCTCAACAACTTGACGTTTTTTCTACCATAGAACATGCATAAGACTTAATGATGTGACTATCTGAAGATGTTATTTAATATTTTAAATAACTAAAATTTGAAATTTGGGATTTGAACGTTTAAAAGAAGAATCAACATAAGTTGGAGAGTAGCCTAGTCTTATCGTTTAATTTTGTCGACTACTCACATTCCCTCCTCCTCGCTGTCTCTGCCGGCTCTCCCCAGCACCAGTTCCGCAGTGCCACCTACCCCCTCCTACACTACCACCTGCCCCCTCCTACTGGGAGGGTAGGGGAGGCTGCTTCATGATAGCAGCCCCTGTCCATGGGGGGGTCCAAGCTTCCCGCAGATAGTGGCTGCTCTGCATCCTCCAGAACAGCCTCTGTCCACAGTGAGCCTGGGCCCACCATGGGAGGAGACTGCTTTGCGGTAGCAGCCCCTGTCCGCGGAGGGTCTGAGCTCCTCACGGACAGGAGCTGCTGCCTCCCCATGTTGCTGCTTCCGTATCAGACGCAGCAGCGCGAGGCAGCAGGTTCACAAGGAGAGCTGTTTTTTAAACTGGCTTTCCTTGCCACCCTGCACTGCTGCCTCTGATTGAGAGGCAGCAGTGCGGGATGGCAGGAGGCTCCCTGGAAGTGGGAAGAGGAGCAAACTGGCTACCAGCACCAACCCCTGGGACTATAGAATAGTCGTGTAACTGCAAAGATTTCATGCAGTTACACAACTATTCAAATACCTGCTATCTAACATCCCTATTGGAGAGCAAGGGAAATAAGGAGACAGGAATCTCAGGACATCACTGAACAAAACAGACTGAAAATTTAGAGGATAAACCAAGAGTAAAAGACATGAGAATGGAGAAAAATGTGTTACAGATTATGGAAGATAAAACATAAAAATACTAATTAAAACACATTTTGGTACCACAAGTCTTTTTTTTAGTACCACAAGACATTTTAATGGCTATCATTCTTACACATTTTGTACTAATTTTTCTATACAAGTTCACACCAAGAAATTTTACATATATCTTCAACGGAAGGCTGTGGAAATTCTATTAAAATATCTACATAAAAGAAAACAGTTTAATCTGAAAAATTTTCTACAATTAAGCTATGGACTGACAGACCTTTCAACAAGATTTTACTGAGACCTATTTCTGTACCAAAATCCTTGGATTAATGTAGTATGACCCAATCCTGCAATATCATATCTTACCCTCACTACATCCACAGTTCACTAATTACCATAAACTCCTCTCACTTTAGATCTGTATAGTTTAGATTTGGCAACTTTTATTAACAGGGGAAGCCTTGGATTGACCCCTACTAATAAAACACACTAAAATTAAGTTTCCCTATCTACACAAGGAAAGTAACTCATTTAATACTTTTGTAGTAAGGACACTGCTTTTGGGATACACCCTTTTCTCCCCCTAACAGATGGCAAATGACTTATTAAAAGGATTAGTCAATGCCACCAATGGAAACAAAATAACACTTACTTGAACTTTAACTTCCTGATGGCTCAGAAGAGGAACTAGAAAAGGTACAACCCCTGAATCGATGACCATCTGTATCTGTTCATTACCACCATCGGTTAGATAGGACAGAGCCCAGACAGTGTCCACAAGGATCTGCAGGAAGCAGAAAAGAACAGACATGTGAGACAGCAACTGTATATGTCCGAACTGTGTGACTGACACTCCACAAAATCTTTAAAGAAAACAGAAAGAACATGAAACTTAATGATAGGGAGAGCTCCGAAACATTAACTAGAATGTTATGATGGCATCTATAATGGTAAAATAGATGGTCATTTGTTCTATCAACAGTTCAAATGTGTCACATGTTCCCTTCACGAACTTTGAGAGAAAGGTGGGAAGATTAATTAAAAGAACCAAAAACACTCTTTGGTTACAGTAGGACTTGGTCAGTATTTCAATGGAAGATAGTCAAGGAAATCAAGTGGCTATAATGATTCTGCAGGTGGCTCTCTTCCTTTGAAATAATATTGAAGCAATCCTTGCACTTCACAAGGATTACTGCTGGAGTGATTAAAATAGAAGTTGCTTCATGGACATATTAAGAGAGACCACGTGTTGGTTTTAAGAGCTGAGCGCTGAGTCCAGAGAACTAGTCTAATTCCTATCTAAAATTCTCCCTGCAATTTTAGTTAAATGAGGTCTTATTAACTTCCTATTCTAAACTGCTGTGCAATGTTACTTTGTACTTTTAAACAGCTACTGAAGTCCATGTGAGATTGACACACTGAAGTAAAAAGTGAATTCAGTAAACACAGTGACTTTAATCCTAACCTTGAAGGATGCATTAATATAAATACACATATTAATGCACTGGGTTTATTCTAGCTAAAAGATTATTTATACGATAGATGTAGCTGGTAGTGGCCTCTTTTATGTAGGTTGCTTAATACTTTCCTTTAAAGACATTCTTGCAACTTTTTGTTTTTGAGATGCTTTCACATCTCCAGTGCTTGCAGAAAACCTTTGAAATTTGGCAGAGAAATCTGAGATTAGAAATGTTTTTCACTGACCTATGAATTTCTGTTTAGGTTTGGTTGAGTTATAAACTGTGAAGGCACAATTTCTCATCTCTCACTTGTGTCAACATTTCCATATCAAACGAACTAAAACATTAACTGTATATGAACATTTGAAAGAGCCAAGCCCATTGTCAAAATAGCAGCAGCGCCTCCACACCACACTGTATTATAGACTGCTAAGCCACCTCACAAAGCCAACATGTAGCCCTAGTGTCCCCTTTTTCTCCTATACTCCCCTTGGGGACACCACATGGGTCAAGAAACTGGAGCTATCGCAAATTCTGGGTAGGTGGGGGGAGGGGGGGGGAGCCAGACCACAATTCCTCTTAAGACTCAGCACATAATCCCAGAAGCCCATTCCTGCCTTTGTGTGTAGCAGTTGTCTCCTGTAGCCAGATAATTTAGTTAGTCTTATAGCTCAAGTCTGTGTTGCAATGCTGAAGGTTTGGTATTCAAATCCTAAAGAGGACAAATGATGGGTTGTTCCAGTTGCACAACAGAATGTACTTCTTTGCTTTTTAGAAAGTAGGTTTTTGTGTGTGATTTCCTAGGTTTAGATTGCAAAAATCAAGAACTCAAAAGTTATAGAATGCCAGATTTATGTTGCATTTGAAATTTAATTCTGTCCCTTTCTGAATATATGATACAATCTAATTACATAGCTCTTTCACATACGACTCAAACCTCATGTATTTAATAAACTAGATACTCAAAAGGCAGAATTAAAGGCAAGTGTAAATCTGGAATCTCACAAATGTTGAGTGCTTGATTTTGCAACCTAAATAGATAGTTTTATGTGTACATAGTTACTACAGTACTTAAACAATTAAAAGAATTCTAAATTTCAGAAATGGTATTTGTGCTTCCCCTTTTACTCTCCCGATTACTGGAATCTATCATTATGAAAATACTGACAGTAGTATGTTTACTTAATTCTATACAGGTTAACATATAAAACAAGTTTACCATTTAAATGCAATCCACATTTATCTCTAGAGAAACAAAGAAAAAATATCCAAATACTGAAAATTTTAAAGTATTTGTTTTGTTTTTACTTACATTTATATCTGTATGGTATATGAGAACACACAATGCTGGCAAAATCTGAAAAAAATAAACTATCAATAATTACAGTGGCACCTGTCCATCATGAAGTAACATCACCTGTGTAAAAGCAAATCAGAGTAAAACACACAGAGGACTATGGTTTGAGGATTTATTTATGCATTATACACCTTTGTTTCCTAACAAACAGCATTCAGTCAAACATCATAAAAACAAATATGTTGCAGGAATTTTGTACAAATGCAAAACAGAAGTTTCAGTAGTGCTACACTTTAAAGAAGTAGTGAGAAGAGACCATTTTCAGGGAAACAAGCAAATTTAAGAGCAAAGATAAATTTAGTGATTTTTCCAGCTACTTATCAAGGGGCCTGAAACACTCTGTATAGTGGGGGTACTGAAAGCCATTGAATCAAATTGTATTTGATGGAAATCACTTCAAGTTCAGCAGTGTGGCAGCACCTTAGGTACCCCAAGTTCCCACACCTATGCTATTTCTGAAAGCTTGTGTTTAAAAATATTGGGTACAGTAAAAATGTAAGCACAACAAAATCCCCCCTTGTTTGGGAAGATACCAGGATCAAAATTAAAAAAAAAAAGTTACATGCATTTCTGTAGAGCCAGAACAAAATTATTCTGACTGCAATACATAAATCCTTGTTTGATAAAAAAGTGTTCTGCTTGTACTGTCCCAATTCTGAAGTTCCTTCGTACTTCATTGTGCATGAAAATGATTGCTTCAAACTGCTTCAAAAATTACAGATATCAGAATATATTTTTAATCAAAATGCAGCTTTAAACAGGTTAGTAGTTAATAGGGATGTGAATGGGTTAACTATTATCTGGGAGCAGTCCCCCCACCTGTGGCAGGGACTTATCACTGACACTATATATTTTGACAAGTACTTAAAACTTAAATATATATTAAAATGACACACGCATTTACTAATTTACTTACATTTCACATCATTAAAACTAGCTATCTGTGTGTAGAGAATCATATTTGTAGTAGTCTCTTGTTTGGTGGAACTATAAATTCTGCAAATTAAACTAAGTTTGCAAGTTAGCACTTTCTAGTTTTCACTTGTTGACATCTATTTTCAACATATTTTCCAAAGACTAGTAAGTCAGTATTCATCCTCTCAAATGGAATAATTAGCTGAGTTATATCTTTTAATTACCTTAATTAAATAGAACTCAGGCCACAACTTCCCAAAGTGCCGGGGGGGGGGAGGGGGCTTGACCCCCGGCTTTGCCTTAGGCCCCTCCACTACTCCATGCATTCCCCCTCTCAGATCTCACCCCTGCCCTGCCTCCTCTTGTCCTGCTCCAGCCTTGCCCCTTCCCATTCTGTTCCCCTCTCTTCCCCTAGGATACTGCATCCTTACTCTTCTGCCATTCCCCCCTCCACATGCACACGCACACGCACACGCATACGCACACGTACCCCAAGCCTCTTGCATGTTGCAAAACAGCTGATTGCAGCGATTGGGAGACACAGGGAAGGAGGTGAGGTGCTGGTCAGTGGGGCCTGCCGGTGGGCAGGAGGCACTGGGGGATAGAAGAGGACCGCCAGTGGATACCCAGTACCCAGCATTTTTCCCCTCTCAGTGCTCCAGCCTCAGAGCACCCATGGAGCTGGTGCCTATGCGTAGACCACTTTGATGCTTTGATTAACAACTGGTCGTTAATACCGGCAGTACCATAAAACATGCATTAATGTATAGCACATATGACATCATAAAAATTGTCCTGTAGCCCAGAGTTAAGGTGTAAAAATCAGTCCTATTATAATTATTTACCTCCTGAACTGTCTCCATAGGCGGTGGGGGATCCTTATTCCTGCAGAGATTTACAATGACCCATGTGACGTTCCGAAGGAAGGTGATGGGAATGGAGGGATTGATGAAGGACAGAAGAGGTTTGACAACTCCCAGTGATATGACATAATCTCTACACTGAGGACCATCACCTACAGAAATGAAAATTGTTTAAAAAAATTCCATTAAAGATGGAAAACTTTGAAATGTATGCAATGACTTATGTTGGGATACTGATATTCTATGTTTCCTCACGAGTAGTTTAGTACCAAAAGCTGCTGTTCATAAGTATTTTAGTATTTTACAAAATTTATATTAAAAAAATCTTATAGCAAATGGAAGTCACTAACTCTCAAAACTTAATAATTAGTATATACATACGGATTCTTGCCATGTGGAAAATTACATGAAACCAGAGAAAATAGAGGAAACATAGTCTCATATGGTAATGCCAATGTTTAAAAGTCAGAATCTAAAATTCTTGCATGTCCCCTGATTTAATTTCAAGTGTTTTTTTTAAATACAGTTAACACTTACCTATAATATTTCCAAGAGCCCAAACAGCTTGCTCACAAACATTCTGATGTGGTGAGTGAAGCAGTCTCAAAAAGAGGGGTACTGCATCTGCAGAATGAAAAGATTTGACTCTGTTAGCGGAACACAGAGAAACTGTACATAATAGTTCAGTCTATTATTAGAGATATTGATTAATCTCTATTAACTAACACAATTAAAAATTAATTACAATTAATTGCAATCGATATCCATTTTTATTGCACTGTTAATAGTATACCAATTGAAATGTATTACACATTTTGGATGTTTTTCTACATTTTCAAATATATTGATTTCAAATGCAGCACAGAATATAAAAGGTACAGTGCTCACTTTATATTATTTTTTATTACAAATATTTGACTGCCAAAATAATATAGAAAGAAATAGAATCTTTCAGTTCACCCCAGACAAGTACTGTAGTGCAATCTCTACCATGAAAAAACAACAAGGAGTCCTGAGGCACCTTGGACAATAGCAGATTTATTAGGGCATAAGCTTTCATGTGTCAAACCGACTTCATCAGATGAACTGGAGTGGAAGTTAATGAGCCTGACTTCCACCCTGACTTGATTAGCCTCATTAACACAACATTTATAATCCTGCCCCTGTAACTTCCACTCCAATTCATCTGATGAAGGTGCCGGAGGACTTGTTGTTTTTGAAGATCCAAACTAACATGGCTACCCCTCAGACTTTTTACCATGGAAGTTTAACTTACAAATGTAGACTTTTTTGTTACATAACTGCACTCCAAAACAAAACAATGTGAAACTTTATTACCTATAAGTCCTTTCAGTCCTACTTCCTATTCAGCCAAGTGCTAAGACAAATAGTTTGGTTACATTTACAGGAAATAATGGTGCCTGATTCTTATTTACAATGTCACCTGAAAGTGAGAACAGGCATTTGCATGACTCTTTTGTAGTGATGATTGCAAAGTACATTTGCCAGATATGCCAAACATTTGGATGCCCCGTCTCCATTGATAGGCAGGTTTCCCGCTTCTGACTTACTTAAATTTTTTGCTGTTAGTTTGTGTCTTTTTTGCCTGTTGCTCTTTCTCTTTTTTTGCCTGTCTAAATATATTTTTATACTTGAGTTGCCAGAGTTTGTGTTCCTTTCTTCTTGTTAATTTAATATTAAATGTAAAACATTTTAAAGACTGCTTGGAGGATTTATGCAATGTACCTTTTGACTATAAAAGGCAGCTACTAGTGGAAGAACAAGGGAATGTTACAAAATACCTTTTCTTGGATATTCTGAATATATTTGTTAACTCTTTTTTTAAAAGGTTCCTTGGACTTATATTCCTTCCTACATCCATTATATTCCTTCCTACATTAGTCAAGCTATAGCTGGAGGGAAGAGCTTTCAGGGAGGCCAGAGCTTATAAAGCCTGCTAGTAAGCGACCATGGCGCTTGCGAACAGGGTGGCTGCAAGCAGGAAGGAGTTTAGAAAGGGGAGGTTAAAGGGTGCTAGTTACTTCTGACCTTCTTTAAACATAACTTTTATAATAATCTATATTCCAGACATTTAAAAAGAAGCCCAGTTTATAATTAAACTTATTCATAAGAAAAATGCAGACAGAAGCCCAGCAGCAGAATGGGGGCTATCCTGTGTATTGCATTGAGTGTAACATGTATGATTACCTGCGGTGGGCGGGTGGCATATGTGTGCACCTGTTGCAAGGAGCTCCTGACTGAATTCAGGCTTTGGAGGCCAGGGTGGCTGACCTGGAGGAGCTAAGGGAAGCAGAGAGCTATGTTGATGAGACTTTCCGGGACTGTAGTACTGTCCCACCTTCAGTCTGAGAGCCCCAGTGCTCTTAAGGAGGATGAAAGGCTCAGGGGAGCAAAGCATTCAATAGGAACAGAGGGAAACCATCCCAAAGTTGGAACCCTCCTTCCAGAGGATGTTGTGGTATCCTCTCGCACTAGGGATACCTCTGAGGGGGAGGGAACGCCAGTTGTTAGGAAGAGGCAGGTGTTAGAAGTGGGTGATTCGATCATTAGAAACATAGATAGTTGGGTTTGTGATGACCAGGAGAACCGTATGGTGACTTGCCTGCCTGGTGCGAAGGTTGCGGATCTCTTGAGGCATCTAGATAGGCTTATGTGTAGTGCTGGGGAGCAGCCGGTGGTCGTGGTACATGTAGGTACCAATGACGTAGGAAAGGGTAGGAGAGATGTCCTGGAGGCCAAATTTAGGTTGCTAGGAAAGAGACTGAAATCCAGGACCTTTATGGTAGCATTTTCAGAAATGCTTCCAGTTCCGCGCGCAGGGCCAGGTAGGCAGGCAGAGCTTCAGAGTCTCAATGCATGGATGAGACAATGGTGTAGAGAGGAGGGGTTTAGATTTATTAGGAACTGGGGACACTTTTGGGAGAGGGGGAGCCTATACAGGAAGGATGGGCTCCACCTAAACCAGGGTGGAACCAGACTGCTGGCACTGAAATTTTAAAAAGGCCATCGAGAAGTTTTTAAACTAGGAGATGGGGGGAAAGCCGACTGGTGTGGAGAAGCACATAAATCAGATGGAGACTTCTCTTAGAGGAGAATCCATTGATAGAGATTCTCTAGGCTGTAGTCAGAAAGAGAGGAAGGGAGAGGACAAACAAGGGGCCAGAGCAGACAAACAACCACATACAAAGGAATCTAATATGTCAGAAAAGGGCAGACAAATAAGCAGTGGCAAATTTTTGAAGTGCTTCTACACGAATGCTAGAAGTTTGACTAATAAGATGGGTGGATTAGAGTACCTTGTATTAAAGGAGGAGATTGATATAATAGGCATCACAGAAACCTGGTGGAATGAGGAAAATCTGTGGGACACAATCATACTGGGATACAAAATATTTCAGGCCATGTGGGTGGCGGAGTGGCACTGTATGTGAAAGATAACGTAGAATCAAATGAAATAAAAATCTTAAATGAATCAACATGTTCAATAGAATCACTATGGATAGTAATTCCATGCTCCAATAATAAGAATATAGCAGTAGGGCTATATTATCGACCACCTGACCAGGACAGTGATAGCAGAGTTCTTGACTCGAGTCCCACGACTTGAATTCGAGTCTGACTTAAGTCGCCTAGGTGATTCGACTTGGACTCGACTCGGGTTCATTGTTTGTGACTTGAGACTCAACTTGGGACTTGAACTATAGTGACTAGAGACTTGACTTAGACTTGACGATGACGACTTGAAGACAACACTGAGTGATAGTGACACTGAAATGCTAAGAAAAATTAGAGAGGCGACCAAAATAAAAAACAGTATAATAATGGGGGATTTCAATTATCCCCATATTGACTGGATACATGTCACCTCAGGAAGAGATGCAGAGATAAAATTTCTCAATGCGTAAATGACTGCTTCTTGGAGCAGCTGGTACAGGAACCAACAAAGGGAGCGGCAATTCTCGATTTAGTCCTGAGTGGGGCGCAGGATCAGGTCCAGGAGGTAACTATTACAGGACCGCTTGGGAATAGTGACCATAATATAAAAACATTTAACATTCCTGTGGTGGGAAGAATACCTCAGCAGTCCAGCACTCTGGCATTTAATTTCAAAAAGGGGAATTACACAAAAATGAGGAGGTTAGTTAAACAGAAATTAAAAGGCACAGTGACGAGAGCCAAATCCCTGAAAGCTGCATGGAAACTTTTTAAAGACACCATAATAGAGGCCCAACTTAAATGTATACCCCAAATTAAAAAACATAGTAAGAGACCTAAAAAAGAGTCACCGTGGCTTAACCACCATGTAAAAGAAGCAGTGAGGGACAAAAAGGCATCTTTCAAGAAATGGAAGTCCAATCCCAGTGAGCTAAATAAAAAGGAACATAGACACTGTCAAATTAAGTGTAAAAATGTAATAAGAAAAGCAAAAAAAAGATTTTGAGGAAGAGCTAGCCAAAAACTCAAAACACACTAGCAAAATATTTTTAAGTACCTTAGCAGCAGGAAAAATGGCATTCACCCAAGGGTTCTAAAAGAACTCAAATGGGAAATTGCAGAACTGTTAACTGTGGTTTGTAATCTATCCCTTTAAATCGGCTTCCCTACCTACTGACTGGAAGATAACTAACATGACACCAATATTTAAAAAGGGCTCTAGAGGTGATTCTGGCAATTACAGACCAGTAAGTCTAACGTCGGTACCGGGCAAATCAGTCGAAACGACAGTTAAGAATAAAATTGTTAGGCACGTAGAAGAACATAATTTTTGGGGCAAAAGTCAACATGGTTTCTGTAAAGGGAAATCCTGTCTTACTAATCTATTAGAGTTCTTTGAAGGGGTTAACAAACATGCGGACAAGGTGGATCCAGTAGATAGTATACTTAGATTTTCAGAAAGCCTTGACAAAGTCCCTCACCAAAGGCTCTTGTGTAAATTACATTGTTATGGGATAAGAGGGAAGGTCCTTTCATGGATTGAGAACTGGTTAAAAGACAGGAAACAAAGGGTAGGAGTAAATGGTACATTTTCAGAATGGAGAGGGGTAACTAGTGGTGTCCCCCAAGGGTCAGTCCTAGGACCAATCCTATTCAACTTATTCATAAATGATCTAGAGAAAGGGGCAAGCAGTGAGGTAGTAAAGTTTGGGGATGATACTAAACTGGTCAAGACAGAAGCAGACTGTGAAGAACTTCAAAAAGATCTCACAAAACTAAGTGACTGGGCAACAAAATGGCAAATGAAGTTTAATGTGGATAAGTGTAAAGTAATGCACGTTGGAAAAAATAACCCCAACTATACATACAGTATGATGGAGGCTAATTTGGCTACGACAAATCAGGAAAGAGATCTTGGGAGTTATCGTGGATAGTTCTCTGAAAATGTCCACACAGTGTGCTGCATCGGTCAAAAAGGCAAATCGAATGTTAGGAATTATTAAGAAAGGGATAGAAAATAAGACACAGAATACTGCCCCTGTATAAAACTATGGTACGCCCACACCTTGAGTACTGTGTACAGATGTGGTCTCACCTCAAAAAAGATATTTTGGCTTTGGAAAGGGTTCAGAAAAGGGGAACTAAAATGATTAGGGGTTTGGAACAGGTCTCATATGAAGAGAGGCTAAAGCGACTGGGATTTTTCAGTTTGGAAAAGAGGAGACTGAGGGGGGATATGATAGAGGTATATAAAATCATGAGTGGTGTGAAGAGGGTGAATAAAGAAAAGTTATTCATTAGTTCCCATAACATAAGGACTAGAGGACACCAAATTAAATTAATGGGTAGCAGGTTTAAAACTAATAAGCGAAAGTTCTTCTTCGCACAGCGCATAGTCAACCTGTGGAACTCCTTGCCAGAGGAGGCTCTGAAGGCTAGAACTATAATAGAGTTTAAAGAGAAGCTAGATAAATTCATGGAGGTTAGGTCCATAAAAGGCTATTAGCCAGGGGCTGGCCACTGTTGGCAGACAGGCTACTGGGCTAGATGGACGTTTTGTCTGACCTAGTACGGCCATTCTTATGTTCTTATCCTGTCTGGCCTTTCAGCAGCAGTTTGTGGCTAAACCACCATGTGTCAAAAATATCTAATAATAAGGCTAATACAGTTACCACGCTCTCCTCTTTGCCCCATCTTGATGCAAAAGAAATGAATATGGCTGCTGAGACACAAGCTGAAGCAGACAAGGTGGCTGGGCTCATGGGAGATAGGCAGAGAGGGGCAGCTTAGAGTTACCATTTTTACCCCTTCCTTCCCTATCTCAGGAAGGTGCAGGCCAAACTGCAGGAAAGGAATTCAAACCCTTCAATTTTCATACCCCCGCAATCTCACCTTCAGGCACATCTAATTAGCTATTCCCAGCACATCTATGACCCCTAGATTAATAAATACATTATATTTCAATTAATCTCTCCATACCAATTCCCCCCACTCTGCCAATTAGCATATCTCCTCTCAAAAAATCAACTCTCCCCTTCTCCTAAAACTAAATTAATGCTGTCTTCCAAATTACACTGCATGTGTTACCTGTCCCTCTGAAAATCAATTAAATCATTCCTATTTTCACCTCTTTAAAATAATCAATTGTTACAGGTCCCCATCTCCTTTTGTGAGGATGCTATTGCCCCTCTTCTGGTGTTTTCTTTAGACTGCCAGAAGCCTTCAGCTCCTATCTCCTTCTGTGCCTAGGCTGGACCAAGCTAAAAGCATAGCCTCTTTCCTTCTACAACAGCAGCAAGACTCAAGCCCTTTGTTTCTTCACTTCCTCCCATTCTTCTTAAAAGAGCAGCAGCTCACTGGCAGTTTTGCTTCTTATTCCCCCTCTCTTTCAGAAGCGCCAGCCATTATATTTTACATTCTTCATTTTACAGCTATTGACACTCTGGTCACTTTCCCTTTCACTCCCATTAAAAATGGACACCTGGACTGAACCTACTATTGCCCTCTCCCTGACAGATATTAACTGAGCAGCATAGCCAGCCAAAATTTGGGAGAGGACATGTTCCTCTCATGCCTCTCCGTGGTCAGAAATATTCAGACATTAATTTGGCTGTGTTATATGTATGGATTTCTTACTCTTATTATTCTGCTTAAATACACAACTTTTTATATACTTGTTTATGACACATTTCCTGGATAGCTTGAACTGTGCAACTCAGATACAGCTGTCTGTATTCAATAGCTTTTTTAAACCTGTAACATTTATAGTATCTTTTTAAAGCAGGAAGAATTACTCACTAAGCCTTCTGGTTCTAGTCCTGAAGAGAGCGGCACTAAATTTTAGGAAATATTTTTTTCAAGAATGACAAAGAATCAACATTATCTGTGATGGTAATGAGATGACTGTTCACCCTTCCATACTCAGGCTACCATTTCCTAAAGTTAATCTCTGTTGGAAAAATACCTTAAGGGCTTCAAGCAAAAGCGCAATGATTATGAGAAAGGTGCTAGAAATAAATTTTCATGGTTTTAATAAAAAATTCCAAACAGAAGATACTTTTCACCTTTACCCAGCAAACATCCATTTTTTCCAAAAATGAACAACTGTTAGCACTTACTTGACTGTACCACAGCTTGGGTCTGTGCAGATGTGCCCGATGCTATGTTAGTCAGTGCCCACGCAGCTTCAAATTGTAACGAAGGACTGTAAAAAAAAATAAGTCAACCGGTCATTTGAAATCTGCTTTTTAGCCTACTGTATGGCTGTCCACTATTGATAATAGTCATGTATGTACGTAGAAATTGCAGAATTTAACACTGTGCTGTGGCAAGCATCCAAAGGACAGAATGGAAAAACAAACGATACTTGCCAAAATCTCCTTTATTACTGACCATCACTGAAAACAACCCGATTGACTGTTGCCCCCAGAACCGCGGCACCTCCCCTCATTTGCTAGATCCACACACACTGTAAGTACCGCCCCACATTCTACTGACACAAATACCTCTTCTCCTAAATTTTGAGAGGGAGGAGAGAGCAGCACAGGGTGGGGGAGGGGGATCTCTGTCCCCCTCTAAAGCCTGGGGGGAGGGAAATAGCACTAGGGATTTGAGGTTGCCAGGCATCCGGTTTTCGAACAGAACACCTGATTGAAAAGGAATCACTGGCCAGGCCTTAAAAGTCCAGTTGATGGCACAGAGAGGCTAACAGAGGCTCCCTTCCTGCCCTGGCTCCATGCAGTTTGATAGAAGCAGCCAGCATTTTCTACTGGTTCCTAGGCAGAAGGGCAGCTAGGGAAGCTCTGTGCATTGCCCTTGCCGGGAACTGCAGTCTTCAGGACCTGTGAGGCAGTGCAGCACGCACCACACCGAACTGCCTGGCCACACCTCTACTCATGGATTGGACACACCTATGCTTCAGGAGCAGTAGGGAGCCTGCTAACCCTGCTGCACTGCCAATTGGGAGCCACCAAAGGGAAGCGCTGCCTGACCACACCCCAAATCTCTTGGCCAGGTTGGAATCCCCCTCATACCTAAACTGCCTCCCAGAGCTCACAGCACGCACGCCCTCCTGCACTTCAAATCCCTTGGTCCAGAGCTCCCTCCAATGCTCCAAACCCCTCATCTCCAGCACCAACCCAAAACCTGTACCCCCAGCCAGAGTCCTCACACACACCTTGCACCTCCTGCTGTAGACCTCACTCCCTCCACATCCCAATCCCCTGCTGAGTGAAAATGGGGAAAGCAAGCAATGGGGGAGGGATTAAGTGGGTGGAAGCTGGGGGACTCAGAGGAGGTATGGGACAAGGGTGTTCATTATGTACAATTAGAAAGTTGGCAACCCTATGATTTTCACAAAATGGGGAGGGAAAGAACAGGAGATGCTGCTCCTGGGTCTGATCTGAATTTGCATGTTCTATAACACCATATGTTCCAGTGAAATGGAAGGGAAAGCTAGTGCTTCACATTCTATAAAACCAGTTATTAATCACATAGAATAACTCTGACTGGCCTGTGGAGCTGGAAAGGGTCCAACAAGAGAGTGACAAGCATGCATCATTTCCAAAACCTGCAGACATTTGTCTTACATTTCTTTCAGATCTGCAACATTCCTCTCTACCATACGCACTATTCTTATTATATTAACCAACATGTTTCTAGCCTGGGATTCCATCCAGGCCATGGCACTCCTTAGTTAGTTAGAGAAGTCCATTATCTTTCCCCAAGAGCTGAATGTGCTGCCTTTACAATGCTTGTAGCCCATGAAAGGGCCCAGAGAGCAAATACTGGAAAAATAACCCAATTTTTTCCAATTTCTCCCTGCCCTTTTTCAGATCGCCACGCAACTTCAATCTTAAATTGTTGGGTTTTTTTGTATTTGGCTCAAAAAATAGGAACTTGCACATAGTTAAGCAGATATGACAATGCAGGAGAGAAAATTAACTGTCATGTGACATCTTAAATGATCATACAGACCATTTCACGTTTCAACCTAGGAACTGAAGTCTTTCAGGGCTGGTCAGCTCAATGCATTTGTCCTGTACAGTGGGGTGAGGAAACAGAAGCATACTGTCCTGAGCAGAACACCCATTATGGAATGTCCATAATCTCTTGGTGCAACAGAGTGTCTGAAAGCAAGATGCAAGTGTCTTTAGTTTTGCCATATTTTCAATGGGTATTGCGGGGTTTTTTTTATTTCTTTTATAAGGGATAAGGGAAATTGTGATTACATTCGCTAACATGGTGTTGATGATATCACTGTCAAATATTGTTAAGTATCTAGAAAGTATTAAATACATATTATATTCATTTTTTACATTTGCATATTTCTTATTTTCAAAAAGAAGAAATCTGAAAGGAAGAAAGAAAACACAGCACAGTTTCAACTTTGACTTATTTTTAGAAATAACCATCCCTAGCTAGCTAGACTATTTGAGATCGTCTAAGATAAACATGCTCATTTATGTTCACTAAATTACAGAATAACTGGACCAAACAGCCAGGACACATAAAGCACAGTCCTGATAACTATGTGAGTAAGAAGAGTCCAAAAGATCAAGACTAAAGGTAAAAGAGGCTGTCTGATTGGTGAGATGTCATAAAAGAAAACATGTTAGCATGTGGCATGTTAGAAGATATGGCAAGGAACGGAGCATTTTGGAGAGAGAAACTCCCATGAACCCCATTTGTTGGGGTTAATGCAAAGAAAAAGTTGCAGAATAAATTTGTCCCAGGAGCATTGTAGTGCAAAAGCATCACATAACTGATCTTCTTATATCAACGATTGCCAGTAAAATGCCATCATTTCCACCAGTGAGAGCAGGGGAATATAGCTTGTTAAAGAAGCTTTGTGGATCAATTAGGAATATGAATGGATGTCTTTATTGTCCTCAAGACCACACATGTAGCATCTGACATGTGCTTAGCCAAATACACAGTAATAGTTTGGTAAAGGGTTGTGCACAGACTGTGGTTAAAGAGCGTGATGGAGGACTAGCATTTATACAAGGGAGCAGAATTAAGAGTGTAGTGCAAGTTGTGATAATACTAAAATGCGTGCCTGTGGGTGGAGGAATCAAGGCTATATATTATTAGATGACTTAACTTCTCATTTCCTTGCTTTCACAGATTTGTTTTAGTTATGTTGCACAGGTAGCAACTCTAACTGCTTCTTGAAGCTTTTTGTGAAATCGCTTCTTAGATCTATTAATTCTTAATTGGAGGTGGCGTAGGAAAGGAACGGGTATTGTGGACCCAAATATTAAAAAAGCATTAAAAAAACCAATATTTTATCCATAAGAAGCTGTGTTTAAACATTTCTATTGTACAAGAAAGTGAGAGTAAATCATGGTTTTTGATGGAAGTTTTACGTGCACCCAACCTCCATCATGCAGGTTTCTGTGTACTCAGTTCCCCATCAATCAGGTTTGTATGCATACGACATAAACTTTCAATTAGGGATGTAAAATCCCACTTAAAAAGCTAAACTGACAGATAACCAGGATCCTGTGGGCAGGGAGCCACTCTAGACTGGCTGGGCTGAACCAGCTGGACTGCAGGCTGCTCAGGCTGGGTCAGGTGCCCCACCCCAGCTCTAGCCCAGCCACATTAGAGTGCTTTCCACCTCCGGCACAGTGGTCAGCTGAGCTGGAGTGCCTCCCTCCCACGTTGGGCAGGGGGCTGCTCCAGCCCAGCCAGGCCAACAATTAAACCCATTACCCGGAAAGCATCTCTGGTAAGGGTGATGCTTACTGGGTAATCTGTTAGCATTTTACATCTCTACTTTCAATCATAACATGAAGAGCAGCTAAAAATGACCCTAACTCCAACTTAATCTTTTAATTACTACCGCATTAGATCTCTACCCCTACTCAAATTTTGTAGATAATTTTAAAAAGAGATCAATCACAATAAAAGAATAACTATCCAGGAAAAAATATAACCCATAACCTAATATTAAAGACTCCCTACTACAAATGTATAAGACACCATACACAAATTACAGAAAAATTCAAAGGTTATAATTTAACTGTGTGAAATGTTGCACTGGTTGGAAATCTACTTTTGCAGAGAAAGGGGCATCTATAAGGACATTTTATAATGGAACTTTAATTATGAAATTGTTACCAGGCACTTCCATAATAGCTGATTTGCTGAGCAAGTCATAAGCAGAGCTTTGTGTATTCTACGATTCTGCAGCTGCAAAACTGCACTCCAGAAATCTCAGTTTGCAGTTCTAATTTATGGTTGCAGAAGTAACCTTGAAAACACCAAGTGAATGTAAACAAATGCAGTGATGCCTGCCTGAGAATGAAGATAGTCTGAAACACTATCTGAGGGTTTATGAACTGTCCCAACTTCTCAATCAGAGCCACGGATCCTTTGACTGTGGAATTTTTCTAAAGTGCCAAGAAATTTATCATATTCCTCTGAACTTGGCCCAACCAGGACTTGCCTGGAGCTGTCTTTTGCTCTCCAGGTTTTCCTACAAAGAAAAGTTAGATAGCAGCAAATGCTCCTTGTACTGTTGAGGGGAACCAGAGCTGAAGTCCACCTTGCAGCAAGAGTGAGTGGAGAGTGGAGTGTAAGCTGGTGAAACAGGCAGCCTGGGGAAGAATCAGCAACAGAGATCAATGTTGCTGTGGAATTCTGGCACCCAGTGCCACAGTATACATGGGCCATGGTCATCTTCAATCATAAAACTTGGGGAAAAGGAAGAGGAAAAAAACGAATACTTACTTATCATCCCTTTCTAGACAGTTGACCAGAATTGGTAAAATTCCAGATTTTATTAAGTCATCAATAGGCGGATTTCTGTCACTGGATAACAGTTTTCTATAAAATTAAGTAAAACAGATGAAAATAGGGATGTAAAATCCCATTTAATTAGTTAACTGGTTAACACCCCCCTAACCCCCTCCGCTTCTACCATGTGCAAGAATGTCAACCTGTATGGGCTAGGAGCCCTCTGCTGCTTCCGTCCCCAGCCCCGTGAGACTGAGGACTCCCAGCATGAACCGTTGGCACCGTGGGGGTGTAGCAGCCTTCTGCACATGGCAGGCCACAAGCGGGAGGCTGCTCCCTACCCCTTCACACCCCTAGTAAATAACATCATCAAAGAACATTTTTGTAGCCACTGTGCATATTGTTGATTTTTCTTACCTTGCAGCTTGAACAGCACTCAATTGGATCACAGGGTTATCACTTGTGGCATTCTGCAATACAAAATAATAAAATCAGTAATCCATCAAATTAGCCAAAATTGTGAATTCAAGAATCTGACGATATTAAGCTTAACATACCTGCAATATAGCTTCTAGTGTTACATTTTGCTTGAAAAGAAAGAGAGATGATTTAGCAACAAATTACTAAAATTACTTTTAGTTGAAACACTCTAGATTAAAATTTCTGAGCAATGGCGACCAGTGCCACTCCAAGTACTTCAGTGGAATTGTACCTGCTCAGATTTGCCCTGTCCATTTTCAGGTGATTTCAAAATTAACATAAGACTCAGACCCAAATTAATATCAGAACAAAAACGTGTTCTAGCTACTACCAAGAAAATAAATTTTTGAAGCATATTCAGAATCAAGCAACTTACTGCTTTGAAGTCAGCATCAACATCAGAGTCTTCTAAACTTTCTTCTTGAGGGACATTTCTTTTTTTCAAAAGATGTTCATCTCTTTTGTTCTAAACATATTAAAGACACTTTAATGTTTATCAATACAGACTAGTCAAACAGAGGTACTTTTTAAAAAAATGCATAAGATTATTTACATAAAGAATTTTAAACTTCAAACTGATTTTACAGTAGGACAGCTGTAAGACACTCATTCTGTTTCAAGCTAAAATAGATCTGAATCTATATATAAACATGTATCTTGTGAACAATGATAAAATACTACAATCCATTGCATAAAATAGACAGTTAACAGCTTTCAGTTAAAGTGTTGATATTTTACATGGAATTTATAGCATACATAACTTCTGACTTAACAGTCACTTAAATTAGAACTGAATAATGATCTAGTCAAATAAGACTAAAATTAGTTTGTAAATAAGACTATTACAAGCTGCTCAGATATCCTGCTTACATCTATTTTAATCTTAGGTGTAAGCAAACATGCTCCAACACACTGACACTCATAATATACACTGGTCACTGCAGCATTAACAAGGGTTTCTACTTTTAACACAGTAGCCTGCGACTTAGTGCTTTATTTAGTAACTACTCTGATAAGCTGCTCTGACTAAGCTGCATTTTAAATGTGAAAGCATCCACAAAATGATCACTGCTTGCTTAATCAGGATATGTGCCATACATTTTATATTCTAAATCTTCTACCTTTATATAGATGGAAAAAAACTCAAATATGGATTTTGACTGCCAAAAGAACATTTTTGACATTTTGAAATATTTATTCCAAGTTTGTTTATTCACCAGGAAAAAATCTCTTCCACAGAAAAAGCTGTCTTTCACATTTTAGACATGGTCTATCTTTTGTTCTGTCAACTGCACTATCCATCTTCATTTTTGGTAAAATATTTAATTCTAAAAACCTTTATTCTTCATTATACAAGCCATTAACGGTAGTTTGGACGGGAAAAAGTGTCTTTCAACTGTTATAGTGACCATTATACATTAAAGTACCATTCTGTAATCTTTATATTCATCATTGTATATAATTTTGATATTTTATATAAAGCATGTCATATTAAAAGTGTTATCAGCCAAAGCCCACTATTCTGTAAAAACCCACTGTTCTGTATGCTGTATAGTTATTGAAATCTGTTGGATTTTAGGAGTCACCCGCTATTAGTTCTCTAGTGATAGCAAAGGAGGTGACCCACATCCAACTGGGCATTAAATCTCTCTCTACAAAAAAAAAAACGTTTACTCTGGCATCCCACAGACTCTCCCTCTGCCCTTAGCTGCCCTGCCTCCTCCTACCCTTGCCAGTAGTCCGGCAGTCAGGCGGAACAAACTGGTCTTCCCACTCTCTGGGGGCCGGGAACCAGGCACCCTCTCGCCTCACGGATGAGGGGCGTGGTCATGTGACCTTCCCCCTCACAGGGTGGAGGGCGGCCTCAGCTCGGCCCAACCCCCCTCCCCCTCCCCAGTGGCTGGAGGAAGAGAGCGGGGCCTGCCTCAGCTTGGCCCAGGCCCCCAGCAGCTGGGGGAAGAGGGAAGAGCAGAGGCTGGCCCAACCTCAGGAGGCCTGGCAGCCAGGGGGAAGAGACCCAGGGAAGGCTAGGACTGCCACACCTCAGTCTGGCCCTCCTCAGCAGTCAGGGGAGAGCTGGAGCTGCCTACCCCCAGAGGGGGGTTGGTGAGCGGAGCAAGTATGGGGCACCACCCCTAGTGACCCTTAATCAGCAAATGAGTTCTAAACAAGGGATTTACAATTCTGTAAGAGAGTTGCACAAGCATCACACAATGGGGATTGCTTAACTCTGTGATTCAGCAAGGTCCACCAGAACAGGTCAGGGCTAGTACTTTCCAGGCATATGAAACTGAGGGTATATACAAGGACATCATGTGAATACTTTCCCCTCCTCCATTTATGCTGAAGACAAAAAAAACACTGCAGAGACAGAGACTTTAATTGAGAAGACTGGTGCCAGGCTTAAAGGGAAAGCCTGTGTATTAAGGGCTGCAACCTGCCTGCAACATCCAGTAATGGGAGAAAAACTGTTTTGATAAATATTGCTTAGTCTAATAACGTTTAGCATTTAGACACTGTGTTTACTTTTTATATTCTTTGATAACTAATTATGATCTTCCATATTTGACATTTATAATTACCTCTTAAAATCTATGTTTCAATAGTCAAACTTATTTTAATGTTTTATCCTTACCACTGAGTTTATCAAACGTGCTTGGGAAATCTATTCAATTTACAAAAGGAGGTGCATGTCCTTTGATGAAATAGTGAACTAATTAATAAGTTTGCATTGTTCAGGGATCCCATCTGGATATAGTGACTATGCACTTATTACCAATTTATGATGCATAAAGATAGATTTTATCAAGATGTTTTGATATTTACATTAGAAAATTTAGGTCATTTTTTCCCTCTCTTTGGTTGAAGGATTCAAGTTGAATAACTTAAGTTGTAGGGGGGAGGGATAGCTCAGTGGTTTGAGCAGTGGCCTACTAAACCCAGGGTTGTGAGTTCAATCCTTGCAGAGGCCATTTGGGGCAAAAATTTGTCAGGGATGGTACTTGGTACTGCTGTGAAGATCCTGCCTTGAGGGCGGGGGGGCTGGACTTGATGACCTCTCGAGGTCACTTCCAGTCCTATGATTCTACATGAACAGAACAGCTTCCCCATTCCTCAACTGGGATGGGAAAATAACAGTACAGGCAGTCCCCAAGTTATGCGGATCCGACATAAGTCGGATCCGCAGTTACGAACGGTTTTTTTATCGCCCCGGAAGACGGGAGCGGCGGGACGCCCAGATGCGCCGGGGTCCCGCCGCCCGTGTCCTCCGGGGCGAGAAAAGCTGCTCTGCATCTCCCTGGTCTGCTGCCCAGGGAGACACTGAGCAAAGCTGCGGAGCACGTGGGCAGCGGGAAAGCCCAGACGCGCCGCAGCTATCTTTGCTCCCCGTCTCCCTGGTCTGCGGGGGGGGAAGGGACGGCGCAGCTAGTCTCCCCCCCTCCCCCATCAGACCAGGCTTTTCTTCGGCCTGTGGTAGAGCAGCTGGGGCGCTGCCAGTTGGTCCCGCAGCGCCGCTCTGGGCACTACTGGACCAACCCGGCAGCACCCCAGCTGCTCTGTCCCAGGCGTCCTGATTCAGCCGCTGCTGGTCAGTTTCAGCAGCAGCTGACTTGGGGACGCCTGGGGTTCTTAAGTTGAATCTGTATGTAAGTCGGAACTGGCGTCCAGATTCAGCCTGTTGAAACTGATCAGTGGCTGATTCCAGGAAGCCTGGGGCAGAGCAACTCTGCTTTGGGCTTCCTATAGCCAGCACTGGTCAGTTTCAGCAGCAGCTGACTTGGGGACGCCTGGGGTTCTTAAGTTGAATCTGTATGTAAGTCGGAACTGGCGTCCAGATTCAGCCTGTTGAAACTGATCAGTGGCTGATTCCAGGAAGCCTGGGGCAGAGCAACTCTGCTTTGGGCTTCCTATAGCCAGCACTGGTCAGTTTCAGCAGCAGCTGACTTGGGGACGCCTGGGGTTCTTAAGTTGAATCTGTATGTAAGTCGGAACTGGCGTCCAGATTCAGCCTGTTGAAACTGATCAGTGGCTGATTCCAGGAAGCCTGGGGCAGAGCAACTCTGCTTTGGGCTTCCTATAGCCAGCACTGGTCAGTTTCAGCAGCAGCTGAATCTGGACGCCAGTTCCGACTTACATACAGATTCAACTTAAGAACGAACCTACAGTCCCTATCTTGTACATAACCCGGGGACTGCCTGTATATTAAGGCTTTTCCAACCAAGGAATGAAACAAGTCCAATAACTGGAGGAAAAAAACAAACCACACCATCTTTATGCATCACAGAGGTTAAGTAAAAGGCATAAGTTTATTTTTCTCTGCAGTTATATGACACTACTGCTAGAAGATCCATATTCTACTTCAAGAACCAGGTTTGTTGTGCTTTAGAAAGAATAACTTGTATACATGCCAAACACAAGCCAGGACAGTTTTCACAAACAGACTAGCATGGTTTAATTTCTATCCAAGACTATAATTCAGGGTTAAAACACCCAAATTTAGCAGTCAGAGTACATCCAGTTCAGGGGTGGGTAATAATTTTTAAAGAGGGGCCATTTCACCAATTTCTGAAGTGGCCCTGGGCCATCCCGTGCTCACTTGTATACATGCCAAACACAAGCCAGGACAGTTTTCACAAACAGACTAGCATGGTTTAATTTCTATCCAAGACTATAATTCAGGGTTAAAACACCCAAATTTAGCAGTCAGAGTACATCCAGTTCAGGGGTGGGTAATAATTTTTAAAGAGGGGCCATTTCACCAATTTCTGAAGTGGCCCTGGGCCATCCCGTGCTCACTCACAGAAGAAGCATGTGAAGTCTTTGCCCCCCATTCCTCCTCTGGGTGCCTAGAGAGAACTGGCAGCTGTTTTGAACAGTTAGTGGTTCATTCTAGGTGCTGCATGCCCCTGGAGGCAAGAAGAGACTTCACATGCTCCCCCACCCCCAGGCCAATCAGGGAATGGGGGGAAGAGAACATGAAGTCTTTGCCCCATGCCCCCACGCTGCAAGGGGAGCGCAGCACCTAGAGAGAACTACCAGCCATTCTGAACAGCTGGCGATTCCCTCTGGTGATTCATGCCCCTAAGCAGGGGGAGGGGACTTTGTGCGCTCCCCGATCCCCAGGTCTCTATTGGCCTGAGGGTGGGGGAGTGGTAGGGCGACCACAGACCAGATCAACTGGCTTGGAAGGCCAGATCCGGCCCACAGAGGCTGTCTTGTTACCCCGGTCTAGCTTCATTGTAAGAACCATCCAGCTAGCAAAATGGTTTGCCACAGTAACTGGGCCTATAATGAGAAGCAATCAAAGGCATGACGGCTCTTGCAGTGCAGACAGGCCCTGAGTGTTTTAATTTTTTTGTGAGGTTTACTTGTGAAAAATAATAAAAATGGGTATTATGCACAAAAGCCATTTTAAGTACAAACTAAAGGAGTAAGTCCACGTGAATGTTGGCATCAAACGTTTCAGCACTACTCAAGCAACAGCTGCTTATGGCGCTACTCTTTGGCTGAGTTAGCCTTTGACAAAGTATTTGCTTATATAATTCTAAGCAGATTCTAATCCTACTCCAACTGGGTGTCAGTCTTGGCAATTCTTGAGGTGTGTAAATGTGGCTTGTGTGAATCATGAGCAACATGAAAGACCTGATTTGGGAAGGCTCAGTTTCCCATGAGCTAGATCTACACTGCATTGGTTAGTCGGAAAAAGAAACAATTTGCGTATCTTTTTCTGCTTTACTGTCAAAAGAGGCTCTCTCGAAATTTTGCATGTCTACATGGCTCCAAATTTTGGGGGAAAAATGTTCTTTCGATACCTCCCTTCTTCCTCATAAAACAAGGTTTACAGGGATGGCAAAAAAGCGTGTCTGCTTTTTTTAATTTTTTTCCGAAAAAGTGGACGCGCTCCTTGGATATCTGGTATCCCAGAAAAGCACTGGAGTCTAGATGTAGCCATGCTCAGTGGCAAGAGAAGATCATTTAGGTAAGGGAATGTTGTAGCCTTCTCAGGTGCCCTTTCTCCCTACCCAGAAAAGCTTGCATAAAAATAAGATCTTGGGCAGTGATCTAAAACTCAATTTACCTTAGGGCCAAGTGTCAGTCCTCAAATCCTGCTAGTGGGCCAGCGGGCACCCCCCTCTAG